ATTTGAGTTCAGGAGTTCAAGACCAGCCTGGGCAACATAGTGAAATCCCGTGTCTACAAAAAAAAAAAAAAAAAAAAAGCGCAAAAATTAGCTTGGCATGGTGGCTCGTGCCTGTAGTCTCGGCTACTTGGGAGGCTGAGGTGGGAAGTCTTGAGCCCGGGAGGTGGAGATTGCAGTAAGCTGAGATCATGCCATGACACTCCAGCCCGGGTAGGCCAGGCCCTGTCTCAAAAACAAAAGTCTAGAACAACAGAGACTAGAATTGAGGTATTTCCTTGAGACTAGAGTTTAGAATACTGACCTAGCAGAGCTCATCAGAGCATAGGTAGGACAGAAATAAGGTGAAAGTGTCCTGGGATGATGGTGAGAAACATAAGCTGGGCTTTGAGTTTAAGTGCTGTTAGGTACATGTTTGTGAGTCACACTGGTTTATAGGATCAGGGACAGGAGGGACAGCCAGTTAGGCAAGGAAGTACAGCCACTGGGTAAGACCCAGTGTCAGATGCAATATGTTCTTCAGGTATAACTGTTAACAAGGAGCAAAACTCCAGTCAGTGTAGAAAATGGTGGTTTGCTTTTAATTCAGTTTCCTTTGCAACTTTCATACCTAGTCATTCACTTTCTTTAAGTTAATTCTTCATAAACTGTTTTATAGCTGTCATGCTATAGACAGTTCTATCTCAAAAAAGAAAAGAAAAGAAAGAAAAGAAAAGTCACACTGACTTTTAAAAAATGTATATAATTCTACTATCTAACTCCAGGCTATTTTCATCACCCTTAAAAGAAAAATCTCATACCCATTAAGTAGACACTCCTCATTTCCCCCTCCCTCCAGTCCATGACAACCACAAATTTTTCTGTCTCTATGGATTTTCCTATTCTGGACATTTTATATGAACTGAATCATACAATGAGTGACTTTTGTGTCTAAATTCTTTCACACAGCACAATGTTCGCAAGGTTTATCCATGTTGTAGCATGTATCAGCACTTCATTCACTTTTATGGCTGAATAAAATTCCATTGTATAGATATACCACTTTTTGTTTACCTATTCATTAGTTGATGGTGTTTCTACATTTTGGCCATTATGAACATGTTTCTTTGAACATTCCTGTACAAGTTTTAGTTTAAACACATGTCTCTAATTCTCTTAGATATATACCCAGGAGCAGAATTGCTGGGTCATATGGTAATTCTATGTTTAACTTTAGAGGAACTGCCAAACTGTTTTCCACAACTGCTGCACCATTTTATATTTTCACCAGCCAATATATGAGGGTTCCAATTTCTACAGTACTCGTTATTGGGTTTTTTTGTTTGTTTGTTTATCACCACCCTCATGGGTATAAAATAGTATTTCTTTGTGGTTTTAATTTGCATGTCCCTAGTGACTAATGATATTGAGTATCTTTTCATGTGCTTATTGACCGTTTGTAAATATTTGAAGAAATGTCTACTTAAGTCTTTTAAGTGGCAATTTGGCCATTTTTAATGAGGCTGTTTGTCTTTTGTTGTTGAATTATAAGAGTTTTCTTCTCTCTCTCTTTTTTTTTTTTTTTTTTTTTTGAGGCAGAATATTGCTCTGTCACACACGATAGAGTGCAGTGGTGTGAACATGGCTCATTGTAGCCTCGGCTTGCTGGGCTCAAGAGATCATCTGCCTCTGCCTTCCATGTATCTGAGACCACAGGCTCACAGCACCTATCCAGCTCATTTGTAAAAATTTTTTGTAGAGATTGGGTCTCACCATGTTTCCCAGGCTAGTCTTGGATTCCTGGGCTCAAGCAATCCTCCCTCCTCAGCCTCCCAAAGTGCTGGGATTACAGACATTAGCCACCGTGTCCAACCTAAGAGTTCTTTAGATGTTCTGGATACTAGACTCTTGAGTAGAAAAAATACACAAACTGTTTTTCCCTCTGTTCTCATACCACAGCAGCAATCAACACAGAAGACTTCTGTAATCAATGCAAGCTATCTATTCTGCAGCAGACACAAACCGGCTATCCTCCAGTTCAATTCAGACACTATCTACCTGGACGGTTTCAGATCCCGCAGTTGAGGGTTCAGTCCCACAAGATTATCCCCACGCTCCCACCAGTCACAAGTCCAGACCTCTGGAACTTCTGACCGGTTACTTCAAGTTGGGGTTCCCATGACCTTCGTTGGGTTTGATTAATTCATTAGGACTGCCCACAGAATTCAGGGAAATACTTATGTTTACTGGTTTATTACAAAGGATAATGACACAAATAAACAGCCAGATGAAGAGATACATAGGGCAAGGTCTAGAAGGTTCCTGAGCACAGAAGCTTCTGTACCCGCCGAGCTGTGGTACGCCACTCTCCCAGGACACAGATGAGTTTGGATTTTTTTGGTTTTGTTTTTGTATTTTTCTGTAGACCTGCACTATAGACATGGATGAGTTTTTGTTTACCTTCTTGTGTTTAGCTCTCTGAAAGCTCCCTAAACCCTGTCCTCTTGGGCTTTATGGAGACTTCACTGGATAGGCATAACTGAAGCATGGACAACTATGTAAAATTGTGATTAGAAAAAAGGGTATGATCAAGGCCGGCCACAGTGGCTCACGTCTGTAATCCCAGCACTTTGGGAGGCCAAGGTGGGCAAATCACCCAAGGTCAGGGGTTCAAGACCAGCCTGACCAATATGGTGAAACCCCATTGCTACTAAAAATACAAAAATTAGCCAGGCATGGTGGCAGGCACCTGTAGTCCCAACTACTTGGGAGGCTGAGGCAGTAGAATTGCTTGAGCCCAGAAGGCGGAGGTTGCAGTGAGCTGAGATCACACCACTGCATGCCAGCCTGGGTGACAGAGCTAGACTCTGTCTCAAAAAAGAAAAAGAAAAAAAGGTATGATCTAATGCTAATAGAATGGGGAAACCCAGCAAGGCCTGTCTGTCCAGATTCTTCTTGGCCTCTCTGTGCAGCATTCCTTCACCCAAGATATGGGCAGGACCCTGTCGGAAATGAAGGTCTCATGATCTACAATCCAACAAGATAGGTCAGTTTTTTTGTTTGTTTGTTTGTTTGTTGTTTTTGTGACAGCCTCCTGAGTAGCTGGGACTACAGATGTGTGCTACCATGCCCGGCTACGTTTTGTAGAGACGGAGGTCTCACTGTGTTGCCCAGGCTGGTCTTGAACTCCAAGGCTCAGGCCACCCGCCCGCCTCGGCCTCCCGTAACGCTGGGATTACAGGCATGAGCCATCATGCCCAGTCGGATTATTTCTTTATAGCCAGTGTTTATACGGAAAAGAGGGGGAATTAGAGTAGTGTTTTTAGGTTTTATGACTGGTTTGGGGGAAAGGAGGTGCTGGTTTCTTTGACTACCTTGTGGAAGAGAGATTCTAGTTTTTATGGATGGCCTCAGGGAAGAATGCGGGGTCAGAGACAGGAGGGCAGGAGAAGGTCAGAGAGAGAGTTTTGCTTCTGAGGTCTAAACCATCCAACCTTATAACATGACTGTAATAAGGGTTGGGCGGGGGGGTTATAAGCCAGGAACTATGGACAACAACCAACATATATCATAATATCACAGCCCTTATCAGATATATGATTTGCAAGTGTTTTCTACTACTTCAGTGGGTTGTCTTTTCACTTTCTTACTAAGTGTCCTTTGATGCACAAAGATTTTTAATTTTGATGAAGTCCAACTTATTTATTTTTGTCTTTGGTTACTTGTGCTTTTGGTGTCATAATTAAGGAACTGTTGCCTAATCTAAAGTCATACAAATTTTTACCTATGTTTCTCTCTAAGAGTTTATAATTTAGGCTCTAATATTTAGGTATTTGATGAGTCTTTAGTTAATTTTTATATACGGTGTGTAGTAGAGACTCAAATTCATTCCTTTGCATGTAATATCCAATTAGCTCAGCACCATTTGTTGAGAAGATCATTTTTGCTCTAATGAATAGTGCTTACACCCTTGTGAGAAATTAGTTGACTACAGATGTATGGGATAACTTCTGGACTCTCAAGTTTATCCCATCATACTGATTTTTTCTTTTAACTTAATATAAATCACTTTTGTATTATTACACTTGGTATTTTATCTTCAAAACTTCCAAAGTTATTTATCATTTATTTAATTGATTGAAAGTGAGCCAGAAGCAAATTTGCTGTCATAAAAGTTTACTAAAAATCAAGAGAAATGGCTTCATAGCACCATTACTTCAATGTTACAATTACATACATTGTTATTAGAATCATTTCTACAGTTATAAATTTATGAAGCTTTGGGAATCCATTTCAATATATCAGAAAAGGAAATCATGTTAATAAAAATATCATTAGACACAAAATAATATAAAATATAAATGAATACATGAAGTAACAATTTTTAATATTTAACTTTTTTACAAACTTATGTACAATAAGATTAAAATAAGACAGCTGTGTATACAAGTTTTCCTATGGATCCGTTCATCTTCACTGCAAGGGTTGCTAGGTAATAACTGCACAGGGATATAGTTATTCTGAATGTTTTTCTCACTATCAAAGACAGTTGTTAGGGACAAATAGACACCAAATAGAGACAAATAGGGATCCCTTATTGGCTCCTTACATGTTGTTGGGTAAAGCACAATTTCCTTGCAATGCTTTTCCATCCTTCTCTCCCAAATATTGTTCTCTTTCTTTCTCTCTTTTTTTTTTTTCCTTTCTTTCTTTTTTTTAAATACAGAGTCTTGCTCTTGACACCCAGGCTGCAGTGTAATGGCACGATCTCGGCTCACTGTGACCTCCACCTCTTGGGTTCAAATGATTCTCCTGCCTCAGCCTCCCAAGTAGCTGGGATTACAGGCACCTGCTACCATGCTTGGCTAATTTTTGTAGTTTTAGTAGAGACGGGGTTTTGCCGTGTTGGCCAGGCTGGTCTCAAACTCCTGACCACAGGTGATCCGCCCGGCTCGGCCTCCCAAAGTGCTGGGATTACCAGCGTGAGCCACCACACCCGGCCCTCTCTCTCTCTTTTTTATTTATTTTTTCTTTTTTGAAGAGACAGGGTCTTGCTATGTTGCCCAGGCTGGCCTTGAACACCTGTCTTCAAGTCATCCTCCCTCCTCAATCTCCCAAGCAGCTAGAACTATAAGCGTGTGCCTTATTCGCAGCTTTATCGTCCTGTTTTGTCACAACTATTTTATATAGTTAATATGCCTTTGGGAGAAACAACACACACATACAAAAAGTAGCAAACCTTGACCTGATTGGCATTTCTGAGATTAAGAGACCCAGGAGAGCCAACAGATTTTCCTCTTCCCAACATTCAAGGGACTTCCTTCCAATTGTTTGCTAATAATGATATATGAAGTTTGTGGGTATTTCTAAATTAGGGACTTCCTTAAAAGCGTTTGTGTTTCCAGAAGATTTGCTACATCAGCCATCAACCCATTATTAGGGTGTCTTGTTCAAGTTCTCCTGCCCATTTTAAGATCCTTTATTAAAATAGCTTGAAGGTGACCATGCATGGTCTCTACCTCCATCCCCACCCATAACAATCTTCTTTTATACAAACATAAAAACATGCTTCTGCTGATTAAAACATACAGCACATGATTGGATATTAATGCTTTGGAGAGATGGTTTGGGATCACAATCACCCAGATACTCTCATTAGGAGGTTCTATAGATCATGGCCTGATGGAGGAGTTTGTGTTACTTGAAAGTAAACATCAAGGGAAAAGAATAGAAAAATCTATCACTAACACCACTGTTAACTCAAATGAGTCAAATAATAAAGGATGTTGATACAAAAACTTTTGATCCTCTCACCATGCTTTCTAGGATCTACCTTCTGCTCTCATCCCGCCTAAAAGTCATAGAAAAGCGTTGACACTTTAGGATGCTCCCAGGTCCTGCAGTTTTGTTATTCCCAGTAGGGGACAATGTTGCATTCAAAACTGCACCGATTGCAGCATGTCCCTGGTCAGGCCTGTGTTCCATCTCTATTTTCAAGACATAGATCTTTTTAAAGAGTCGTATATAAATATTTTTTCTCTAAACTCTAAGAAAATGAGAGTTGAAGAAGAAAAACAGAGAAGACTTGAAGGATTGTTTTTTATCCACTGTCTTCAGCAGAAATATTTCATCGTGTGTGACATTCCTGGAAGTTGCTATCAAAGTCCCAAGGTACGAAATGCGTCTCGTAAGTCATCAACCTCATACAGGGGCTGCAGAGAAAGAGAGGGGCAAATTGAGTGAATGGTTTCAAAACTCGGTTGGAGGTTGGTGGGGCCGGAGAGGCTTCTAAACTGAGTGGATGGCTTTCTAACATTTTGGAAGAAAGTAAATTGGGAAAGAGTTTTTTGGGGTTTTTTGTTTTGTTTTGTTTTTTTGTTTTTCTTTAAAAAAAGGAGAAAAGAATTCTGACCAGGAAGGAAACACAACCCTGGGGATAGACGGAAATTTAAAAATGTGAAACAACAGAAGAAAGAAAAGGGAGGGAAAAGGAACCTTAGCAGAGGGCTCTGAATGGTGAAAGAGCAGAAGAAAAAGCTGATATGGAGAAGCAATAAAGTTTTCATCAGATGAAAACTGAGAGTGATTAAACAATAAGAAAATATAAGAAATATACGAAGCTCCAAAAAAGACTACAGAGAATGAAAGGAAATTTAAAAAGCAAGGAAGCCCCTTACCAAAAGGATGCGCCGAAGCTGTCTGGAGAGACGAACTGAATTTTCATGCAACCCTTCCCAGGCTTTGAAAGTTCTTTCACGATTTTCTACAAAAGTATTCCAGCAGTAAAAATAATCTTTAAAAAAAAAAAGAAAGAAAGAAAGAAAAAAAGGCGGGGATGTGGTGGTAGAAGACAGTTCAGGTTCCAAATCGAGGGAAAAGAAAGCAACCTGGCCCCATTTTCTCATTTCCTCAGGGCCTTGGCTCTGAGCCATTTACTCTTTTCTCTACTTGTAACCTTTAATTTCCGCTCCAAAGGTGAACCAGAATCCCCGCCCACTTCTTCCCCTGGTGCTTCCCCACTGACTCATTCGTTCTGCATCGCAATCCCGAATGCGGGCTGCTGCACTGCGCCTGCGCGGAAGGCCCTTTCGCACCTTTGAAGGTCATGATGGCTATTTGCACCCCGGCGCGGTGCAACCGCCTCAGCCCCTCAGGCTCAGCCTTGCGGTCCTCGCAGAAGTAGAGGCGCGCGGTGAAGATCCTCAGACTGAGGTTGGGGTTCCCTCGCAGAAAGTCGGCCACATGTCGGGCACAGTCGTAGCAGGGGCTCCAGGAGGTGAACCAGGTGACGCGGTAGCACCTGCCAGGGTCTAGGTCCCAGTCCGAGATGTAGCGGAGGAAGAGCAATTCCACGTGGCAGCCGGACTGGGGAGACAGAGAAGACCCCGCTAACATTCACTGACTTTTATTGCGGCTCTGGTAGCCTTAGTCGTTGTCTCCTACAATGATCTTTGGGGATGCTAGGAGCTACCGTCCTTGTGTTACAGAGAGGCTAAGCAACTTGCTCAGAAGAGCACACCAGTAGGTAGAGCTGAACCCTTGGCTGCACTAGTCCTGCAGAGTGAAGGAAGGCTATGGGTTTTTGCGGAATGAGGAAGATGAAGTGCGCTGAGTTTGGAGGAAGCAGTGTCACACTACCTCACCGAAGATTTAATTTGTGTTTATGAAGTTGCTTTTTGCACCTTTTGAGAAGGAAAATGGCTGGAAGTGCCTGTTGATGTAACATTGTGGAAATATACCTGGACCACTAGGTGGAGGTAGGACAGGTTATGAGGATCTGAAAAGCGGAAATAGATTTTGGTAAAGCAGACAGATGGGTGTTGTAAGAGAAGTACTAGGCACTGCCACGAAAGGTAAATGAAAGTGCTTGGTAAAAATCAAAGCCTTCTGAAATAGAATGTGTCATGTCACCAGATAGGAAGGAGACTGGCATGTACCCAATACAAATGTAGGCAAAGAAAATTGCATGGTAATATAACCATCAAACAGTGAGCCAGATGATGACCTTCCACCCCATGGATGCTTCCCTGAGATTCCGCCAAGTCCAGACGTCACGGCATGTTAGGAGAAAGGAGATACCCACAGGCAGAAGTTTATGTAAACCCATCTGGATTTTGGTGAAGAAGTCTCTTGGAAATGTAATTCTCTCGGGTAGCTGAAAGATCAGTTTAATTAATCAATCACCCGAGGCTTCTCTGAGTTTTCTGGGGATCACCATGTTGAATGTATTCACTGGCCTATGATCCATGTGAACAGGAGGGAAAAGAAATCATTTGGAAAACAGAATTGAGCCACTGTTAATTTTTTCCCAAATTCTTCTTCCTTCATCTTCAAAAATGCTTAAGACACAATTTGTTTTTCACATTTAAAATTTTTGCTTGAACAAGCTGATAATATCCTCCTAAATAAAAATGATTTTAGCTTAATTAATCTCAAAGGCAATTCAGAGGCTGAGGAAAGCGGGTAAAAATTTGGGGAGCAGTTGTTCTTGGCATTGAAGGAAAGTGTGGCATTAGGGTGCCCAGCATTACTGGGGAAGAATTAAATCACATATTTTGGGCCACGTCTAATATGGGTGCATGGACATGGAAAAAGAAAGAAAAAAAGGATTTGAGGAATGTAATAGAAACACGAGTGCCAAAAAAGGATGGAAGTAATACCATCAGCAGGTGGCTCTAAAAGCACTTACAGTTGACCATTAGACTGCTTGCAAAGCCGACTTTCATTGATACCTTATTGCGAAGATGACCAAAGTCCAGTGAAAAGGAAGTAGCACTGTCCCGCCTCTTCACTACATAGCACAGGTAGGTCTCATGCCGACCCTTAGCCCAGCGGACATTTTTGAAGTGGTAAAGAAACTTCCTCCGGTTCATCAAGAGGCTGTGGGTGAGAGGAGGGAGAGAAAATGCAAGAGTACAGTTTATTATCTGATCACTGTAGATTTTCCTTCAGCTTTTTAAAGAAGTCGTTACTTGGGCTAAACCAAAGAAGATGCTCTGGCTTCCTCTGCTGGATGCCTGAGCCCTACTGAGCCCTGCTGAGCCTGGAATCCATCATAAACTCCTTTTCCTGCTTATATTTAAGGCCAATTAAGAGATACTCATCAAGGACCCCAAACCCTTACCCACAAGACGGTCACCTCCTGCCACTGTCTCCTAGATGCTGATGACTTGGAATTACAATTAAATTTGTTCTTCAACAAGAAAACAAAACAAAAAATAAAAAACTTGTTCCTCAGTCCCATAATTATGTTTTCAGATTTCCCCTCCAGTCTTTACCTAAGTGTCCAACTTGTACCTCAAACTCAAAATGATCAAAACAATATTCCTCAACTGCCCCCTGTCCTAAACTGCCTCTCCTTTGCCACCTCAGGTAAGCAGGTTAGCAGCCTGCAACCATCCTTGACTCATTTCTTCTTCCTCAGTCCTCATATTTAATTCATCATCTAAATGTGCTGATTCAAACCCCCCAATATATCTTGAATTGGTACCTTCTCTGTCTGTGGTTCTCTGCTTCGTCCAAGCCCCCATTTTCTTCCTCCTTATCTGTTGTGCTGGCCTTTTAACTGGTCTCTCTGCCTCCAGTCCCTCCAAAATAACATTCTCACACTGTCACCACCACGATCTCACAAAAACCCAGGTGCCCCATGCCATTCCCATGCTGAAGACCCCCGATGGTTCTCTTCTGCCCGCAGAATAAACTCCAAACTCTTAAATGTGGTCTTTAGGCCACTTTTTTTTTTTTTTTTTTTTTTTTTTTTTTTTTTTTGAGACGGAGTCTCGCTTTGTTGCCCAGGCTGGAGTGCAGTGGCGCGATCTCGGCTCACTGCAAGCTCCGCCTCCCGGGTTCACGCCATTCTCCTGCCTCAGCCTCCTGAGTAGCTGGGACTACCGGCGCCCGCCACCTCGCCCGGCTAATTTTTTTTTCTATTTTTTGTAGAGACAGGGTTTCACCATGGTCTCGATCTCCTGACCTTGTGATCCGCCCGCCTCGGCCTCCCAAAGTGCTGGGATTACAGGCGTGAGCCACCGCGCCCGGCCAAGGCCACTTTTTACAGTTGGACCTCAATCTAAATTTCTTTTTTTAAGTTTTGTTTTGTTTTTTTTTTTTTTGAGATAAGGTCTCACTTTGTCGCCCAGGCTGAAGTACACTGGCATGATGTTGGCTTATTGTAGCCTCAACCTCCCAGGCTCAGGCAAATCTCCCAGGCTCAGCAGATCCTCCCACCTCAGCCTCCTGTGTAGCTGGGATTACAGGCACCCACCCCCGTGCCCAGGTAATGTTTGTATTTTTAGTAGAGACGCTGTTTCACCATCTTGGGCAGACTGGCCTCAAACTCCTGACTTCAGGTGATCTGCTCACCTTGGCCTCCCGAAGTGCTGGGATTACAGGCATAAGCCACTCCACCGGCCTATTTTTTAATGTATAAGAGTAATACCTGGCTGGGCACAGTGGCTCACACCTGTTTTTTAATGTATAAGAGCAACACTTGGCTGGGCATGGTGGCTCACACCTGTAATCCCAGCACTTTGGGAGGCCGAGGTAGGTGGATCACCTGAAGTCAAGAGTTCGAGACCAGCCTGGCCAACATGGTGAAACCCCATTTCTACTAAAAATACAAGCATTAGCCAAGTGTGGTGGCGGGCGCCTGTAATCCCAGCTACCAAGGAGGCTGAGACGACAGAATTGCTTGAACCCAGGAGGCAGAGGTTGCAGTTAGCTATGGTCACGCCATTCCACTCCAGCATGGGCAATAAGACCAAAACTCCACCTCAAGAAAAAAAAAAAGAAAGAGTAATATTTGATCATTGTCAAACTTGAATACTATGGAAAAATAGAAGAACTCTAAATTTTAAAATATTAAAGATTTTTAAAATCTCGAATATCAGTGTCTAATAATGATAATTAGACATAGTGTCTACTAATGACAATGACTGTGAAGATTCTTGTGTTTATTCCTGTAGTCTTTCTACAGGCACATATTTACATAATTTGGATTATACTGATTGCATGTGTGATTTTATACTCTGCTACTTTTTTAACTAAGCAAAATAATCCAAATATCTTGCTATGCTGTTCCCACATAATGACTGATTTCTCCTCCTCTTTGGTTTCTGGCTCCTAGCACAGTGTCTTGCATATCATAAGCACTAACTTGAATAGCATTTGTGGAAATACTCTGGTAACCCAAGTTTCTTTAAAGAAATCAAAAGTCCTCATTGCAGCTGCAAACAGCAACACAAGCTGTACAGCGTGGTTGATATGAAAGCACAGTGGTGCCTGGATTTTGTCCCTAGTCTTTTCCAGAAATGCATTTATCCAATTTGTGGAGCTAGTGCTGTCACCTAACGGTATGGGGCAGAAGTGCAGAGAATTTGCGAAGTAAAGGGCTCAGGAATTTGAATAACGTTTGCTGGCAAGAGAATTGAAACTTTTCTTACTCATTATTTTTTCTTACATTGAGGTATAATTTACATACAGTAAACTTCAACCATTTAAGATGCATAATTCTACGAATATTTTTGGGTGTAAACACCCCAAACTGCTACCACAGTCAGGATACAGAACCTGAATCACCACCCTCACCCCACCAGAGCTTCTTCCTCCCCCTTTGCAGTCCTTCCCCTCCCCACAGAGCAACCACTGATTTGCTTTCTTTTTTTCCTCTTTTTATGGAGAATGGAGTTTCACTGTGTTGCCCAGGCTGGTCTTAAACTCCTGAGTTCTAGCAATCCTCCCACTTGGACTCTCAAAGTGCTGGGATTATAAGCGTGAGCCACTATGCCTGCCCTGATTTGCTTTCTGTAACTATAAGTTACTTTCATTTTCTAGAATTTCGTATAGCATACATTATCTCCTCCTTCGCGTCTGACTTCTTTCATTTAGCGTCATGACTTTGGGATTCATCCCAAAGTGCCTTCTTCCTTTGTCCTGCAGGGTGGTATTGTGTTGCATGGATATAGCACATGTTGTTTATTTGTTCGCTTGGTGGTGGATATTTGGATAGTCTCTACTTCGGGGTTTTGTGAATAAAGGTACTATGAACATTCATGTACCAGTCTTTGTGTGGATATACATTGAGAATTGATATTTTAGTAATGTAGTGCCGGTGATAGACCCTGATGTTAAAAGTTAAATACCAAAACATCAGCCTAACTAAGGAGATCATCTAGGACAACAGTTCTTTGTAGTTGTTTCCATTTAGTTTTCATTTTTCTTATTATTTTTTTGAGGCAAGGTCTAGTCCTGTCACCCAGGCTGGAGTGCAGTGGTGCAAGCATTGCTCAGTGCAGCCTTGACCTCCTGGGTTCCAGATTCTCCTGCCTCGGCCCCCTAGTAGCTGGGACCACATGCACATGCCACCATGTCCAGCTAATTTTTGTATTTTTTTTATAGAAACAGGGTTTTGCCATGTTGCTCAGGCTGTCTGGGCTCAAGCGATCCACCCACCTCAGCCTCCCAAAGTGCTGGGATTACAGGGGTGAGCCACCACACCCGGCCATCTGTTTCAATTTAAATGTCTCCCCCCACATACATGAAGCTTATTAGAAAGCACTTTAAACCTTAGGCAGCAAACTGGCTTTATTACCAGTATACACATTATGTAAGGTAAAAATTAGCCATATTATTTTAAAATTAAAAATGCATATTTTGATCTAAATGGATACTAGGCCAGATGCAGTGGCTCATGACTGTATCCCAACACTTTGGGAGGCCGAGGCAGGAGGATTGCTCGAGCCCAGGAGTTCAAGACTGCAGATAAGCTATGATTGCACCACTGCACTCCAGCCTGGGTAATAGGGTGAGATTGTCTTTAAAAAAATAAAAAACATAAGAAACATAAAATGAATACTAAAAAAGATACAATAATAATTAGCTTTATTTTAAAAGGATAATAATTATTATGGTAATTACCATAGTACCAACCACCATTACTATTACTATATTAGCATATAATAATCTTTTGTATATATAAGCTCAACACATAATAGGTGCTTAATAAGTACAGAAGAAAAAGAAAAGCAATTCTCCCTTTGAGGCCCAGGGTTAATTAAGCATCATCTCTTACCAATAAATCCCTTTTCTATTTAACTTACCCTCCTGAGCTGTATAGATGAGAAAGGCAAAGGAAACTACATCTTTTTACATGCACCTTGGTTGGTGGCGTGTGTGTGTGTGTGTGTGTGTAGAGAGAGGTAGAGAGCCTTATCATAAGGAAGAAAAAGCGTCCTGGAAGTCTAGAGAAGAAGGATGTGGCACAGATAATGGACTTCGGGTGGATTTTTGGGTCCTACTCTACATGAAAATGCCATAGGCTTGCACTGTTTCTGTCACATGTTACCAGTCAGAGCGAAATGAATTGCATGATCCTAACCTGCTAGTTAACTTTGTTGATCCATTACTTCCCTTCTCTGGTTAGGGGCCTGTTTCCAGCTCCCTGTTCTGGTCATTTCTCTCCGGGGTAGGAAGGACTTTGCCGAAGGAGTGTTTCAAGCCTGCAGGCTGACAGCTGCCTGGACAGCTGTGCTCCCTGAAGCAGAACCCTAGCTGCATCCCCAGCCGTGCAAACCAGAAACAAGCGGGTTAAAAATAAGCCTGACCAAGTCATTTTGCCATCACTAATGAGCTCTACAGATACTCTCCTCTTTAATGATGATATTAATCACTCTTTCGTCCTGTTGAATTTCATCTTTTCTCCTTGTCTGTCTTTCTCTGAATTTCAACTGCTGAGTTTACCTTTGCTTTGCATTTTACTTTGAACAAGTATTTCCAATGGACCCTTCACAAGGACCTATACCTCAGACTTGTGTTCAAAATCTCAGTGTAAACTGAGGAGACATTTGATATTGTTTGCCCTCAAGAAAATTTTCTGAAGGATATTAAGTCCTCCATTAAAAATCTTTATTCTGTATATTGAATGTGATGGCTCATGTCTGTAATTCCAGCACTTTAGGAGGCCCAGGCAGGAGGATTGCTTGAGGTCAGGACTTAGAGACCAGCCTGGGCTGGTCTAAGACCCTGTCTCTACAAAAAAATATATTTTTAAAAAATCTTTATTCTGTAATGCAAGTTCTTTATAAAGGAATTAAATTGAGGTAAAGTATAAGGATGAGGCATTATTCTCATATATTCATAGTAATCATAAATGTAGGAATAGAGTAAGTTCTATGATATTAACTGATCAAAAACTGCAAATAAAAACATTGTGAGGACCTTAACCAAATTCACAGCTGAGAGGTAAGTTAAGCTATGTCTGAGCAAATGGAAAGATTAGTTAATGGTAAAAGTGCCATTAACTGCCTAACAATTAGACCTTTAACATTAAATAACTTGCTTGAATGAATTTTTCTCCTTGTAATAGACATAATCAAAGTGACTTTCAAGCAATTAATTTAGAATGTTTGGCATTTCTAAAATTACAAATTGTCTTACTATAGCTAAATTATTTCAGTAACATCTCCCTAGGAAAGCGTGTCTTCAAGTTGTTTTATTGTTGAATATGTACAAAATTTTTATGAAAATTAACACTACCATTTTTAGTACAGTACTGCTATTACCTTTTCATGATTTGAGTCTCTAAAGATTTGCTACATTAATATTATTACCATAAATTAGTTTCAACCATGGTACAAATCTCAGGACGAATCAGTACATTGTACATACTACTTCTGCCACGTGAAAAAGAGAGAAATCGAAAGAAGTCTGAAACAGAAAGAATTGGGCTGACAGCATGTAAGATCTGAATAGAAGAAAAGGAGACAGATCAAAAAAACATATATGCATATTGATCAAGCTGATCTTATCAGTCAGACAGTTATATGAGAGAAAGGGATAGCTACCAGTCTCATTACTCAGATTTGCTCTGAGAGGAAAGCCAGTGCAATCACCCACGAGGAGATTGCCTCTTTACCTGTCCATAGCGGTGTCCAGAGTGTCTTTCTTGGCTCCCTGAAAGTCTCAGGCCAGAAAAATCTTGCTTCAATTAATGATGGTTCTCTGCCTCAGTCTGACAGTGCATTGGCCCTTCACATTCAAATTTGAGCTTGCCCTTTTGGGCTCCTCCCCTGACAGCATCACCCCCACCAGATACCCCAACGGCCTTGCTCCTGATTTGGATCCAGTGAAGATGGGTGGGTGGGGCTGTCATAGGCAGAGTCACACAGGTTAAACGATTGAGGGCAGCTCTGCTTAATGTTTGGGTTCCTTTAGGGCTGCTGCTCTGAAAGTCCAGTCCATGCTCCATAGCTAGCAAAGATCAGGAGGCAGCAGCAGTAGACACTTAAATTGTAATCATGATAACACAAAATAAAAGCACAATGATAACAGTAATATTTATGTAAATACCTTAAAGAGCATTTAAATAGCTTCTTGTGCTGTTGTGTTAAAGAGCACTTAAAAAGCCTCTATTCCCCCATAGTCTCACACTATCTCTGAACTCAGTAGAGACAGTCACTAACAGTTCCTGCTTTGCAGTTAAGCAAATGAACTCAGTTATACAGAATTTAGAACACAAAATTTTTCCCTCCCAAACCATGGATTTTTTTCTTTCTGATTGCATTACAAGAATTGCTTGAAGACTAGATATTTACACCAAAGAATGATTTTTGCATGAGCCATCCTTTTTAGAAAAAAAAAAAAAAAAAAAAATTCCTTAATTTGGAGTCGGAAGCAGCAGCAGTCCCCCAAAATACAAAAATGCTTATTTCACCAGACAAAATCAGTGCCTAATTGACTACATTGAATTTGGAAAACAGGCTAAGATCTTCAAATAAAAGACTTTAATTTTGTGTTCACATAGAACTTGGTCTATTAAAGATTTTATTTCCCTCTCCTACTGTAGCCCATATACATTCTATTTATTCACTGAGTGGATACTTAATGGCTACTGTGTGATGGAAACTATGCCAAGTGCTAGGGATGCAATGGTAAGCAATGCAGCTAGGGTCTCTGCCTCAAGGCTTTGATACCATCTATACCTTGATGATTTTCAAATCAATAGCGCTAGCTTGGACCATGTATTTGTCTGTTCCCACACTGCTGATAAAGACATGCCTGAGACTGGGTAACGTATAAAGGAAAGAGGTTTAATTGACTCACAGTTCCACATGGCTGGGGAGGCCTCACAATCATGGCAGAAGAGCAAGGGACATCTTACATGGTGGCAGGCAAGAGAGAGCTCATGCAGGGGAATGCCCTTTATAAAACCATCAGATCTTGTGAACCGTATTCACTATCACGAGAACAGCATGGGAAAGACCCATCTCCGTGATTCGTCTGCCTCCCACTGGGTCCCTCCCATGACAAATGGGAATTGTGGGAACTACAATTCAAGATGAGATTTGGGTGGTGACACAGCTAAATCTGTCAGACCACTTCCTTCAACTCAAGACAAGGGTGTCCAACTTTCCTCTCAGAATCTCCGTTTGGATGGCTGAGCACCTCCAGCCTGTCTAAAACAGAACCCCTCTTCTCTGCCTTACCTGCACTTCTTGCCATCTTTCCCATCTCAATAAACAGCAGTATTCTTCCAATTGCTTGGCAAAACCTGGGCAGAGTGTCTCTCAACTCCCCTCTTTCTTTTAAATTCCATGCACACTCTATTAGCAAATCCTGTTATCTCTGCTTCCAGAATATATTCACAAACTGATCACTTCTCACCACCTCCAGGTCCAAGCAAACTGGATTATTACATTTTGCCTCCCAACTGGCCTTTCTGCCTTCCCCTTCTTCGATTATAGTCTGATCTCCACACAGCAACTAGAGTATTCATTCTGGAACATTTAAGGTCATGTCACTCCCCTGTCATAACCCTCCATGGCTTCCCATTCTCTCAATACAGGCCAGCAGCCTGAGATGGCCCACAAGCCCCGCTACCATCTGCTCTGTTTCGCCCCTCTGGCTGCATGTGCCTCCACTCTCTCCCTTGCTCACACAAAGAGCACACACTCCTTCCTCTGCCCTTGAGGGTCCCTCTGCTGAAAAGTTATTTTTTTGTGTATGGTTGTGGCTTACACCGTCATGTATTTTACGTCCTTACTCAAATACTCTCTGGTATTTGAGATTTGTCCTAGTCACCATATCTAAAATATCAACCAAATCTCACCATTCTGACACTCCCTTGCCCCCATCCCCTAAATTATTTTTCTCTGTAGTACTTATCACTTAAAATACACTCCTCAGTAAACTAAAGACAAGTAAAATAATCTGTTTAAATTATTTTTTAATTAGCCATGAGATTTGAAATAATAATTAATTATAATTATTTCTAATAATTATATAATTATAATCATTGCTATTTTGAGGCAGAGTCTCTCTGTGTCACCCAGGCTGGAATACAGTGGCATGAACATGGCTTACTGCAGGCCTTGACCTCCTGGGCTCAAGTGACACTTCTGCCTCAGCCTCCCGAGGAGCTGAGGCTACAGGCATGTGCCACCACACTCAGCTCATTTTTGTATTTTTCTTTAGAGATGGGGCCTTTCCATGTTGACCAGTCTGGTCTTGAACTCCTGGGCTCAAGTGATCTGCCCGCCTCAGTCTTCCAAAGTGCTGGGATTACAGGTATGAGCCACTGCACCTGGCGTTGTCTAAATTACTATTGCTGAAAAAATTCCTCAGGGCACCAGCAAGATAGTAGACGGTAGTTGCCTTTGGCACTCTCAGTTCTATAGGACAGTTGATCAAGGAGCAGAATGGAGACTCCAATTTCATCTGCAGTGTTCACTGGAAGGTGCAGGTATTTGAAATCTGATCCCTTTAAGTTGTATCGTCAGATGTGAGTTGGGCTTTTATCATATTTTCACCCATTTGTCAAGAGAATAACACACAGGTACACACAATTGGGTTGTTTTATTGTTTTAAATAAAAATGGCATAGATTTAAGGTGCATAACATGATGTTTTGATATCCATAATGAAAGGATTACTATAGTCAAGCTAATTAACTTATCCCTCTCCTCACATAGTAACCTTGTATGTGCAAGTGTGTGTGGTTACCGCACCTGAAATCTACTGTCTTAGAAAATTTCCAGTATACAATTTTTTCTTTTTGAGACAGAGCCTCACTCTGTTACCCAGGCTGGTGTGCAGTGGCACCATCTTGGTTTACTGCAGCCTTGACCTCCTGGGCTCAAACAGTCCTCCCACCTCAGCCTCCCGAGTAGCTGAGACCACAGATGCACACCACCACACTGGGCTATTTTTTTTAATTTTTTTTGTACAGAGAGGGTCTCACTATGTTCTCATTTGGGTCTTCAACTCCTGGGCTCAAATAATCCTCCCATCTCAGCCAAAGTGCTGTGATTACAGGTGTGAACCACTGGCCTGGCCCAATACAGTATTTTTTAACTATAGTCATCATGCTGTGCAATAGATCTCTAGACTTATTAATCCTGTATAACTGCAACTTTGTACCATTTGAGCAACATCTTCCCATTTTCCCTACCTCCCCATGCCTAGTAACCACCATTTTACTTTCTTTCTTTCTTTTTTCTTTTTTTTTTTTTTTTTTTGAGACGGAGTCTGTTGCCCAGGCTAGAGTGCAATTGCGAGATCTCGGCTCACTGCAACCTCCGCCTCCAGGTTCAAATGATTCTCCTGCCTCAGCCTCCCAATTAGCTGGAATTTCAAGCATGCACCACCACGCCCAGCTAATTTTTGTATTTTTAGCAGAGACAGGGTTTTCACCATGTTGGCCAGGCTGGTCTCAAACTCCTGACCTCAAGTGATCCACCTACCTCGGCCTCCTAAAGTGCTGAGATTACACGTGTGAGCCACTGTGGCTGGCTCACCATTTTACTTTCTGCTTCTATGTATTCAACTTTTTAGGATTACACATATAAGTGAGATTATGCAGTATTTTTCTTTCTGTGTCTGACTTATTTCACCAAGCATAATGTCCTCCAGATTTATCAATGTTGTTGCAAATGGCAAGATCTCCTTTTTTCAGGCGGAATAATATTCTTATTCCTATATATATATATATATATCACATTTCTTGATCCATTCATCTGTCAACAGACCCTTATGTTGTCTCCGTATCTTGGCTATTGTGAATAGTGCAGGAGTGGACATGGGAGATATCTCTTCAAGGCACTGATTTCATTTTCTTTGAGTATTTACCCAGAAGCAGGATTACTCAATATGGTAGTTCTGTATTAAAAGTTTTGAGGATCGCATAGTAGTTCTATTTTTAGTTTTTTTTGAGAAACATCCATACTGTTCCCTATTAACAGCTGTGCCAACTTACATTCCCACCAACAGTGTACAAAGGCTCCTTTTGCTCCACATTCTCACCAACACGTGTTTTCTTTTGTCTTTCTGGTAACAGCCATCCTAACAGGTGTGAGGTTATGAGATAGAAAAAAATAAAAATGTAAAATGCGAAACCAAAAGTATATAATAGGGGCCAGGCACAGTGGCTCACGCCTGTAATCTCAGCACTTTGGGAGGCCGAGGCAGGCGGATCACCTGAGGTCAGGAGTTTGACATCAGCCTGGACAACATAGTGAAACCCCCCTCCTTACAAAAAAAAAAAAAAAAAAAAAAAAAAAAAGCCAGGTATGATGGCAGGTGACTGTAATCCCAGCTACTTGGGAGGCTGAGGCAGGAGAATTGCTTGAACCCGGGAGGTGGAGGTTGCAGTGAGCAGAGATTGTGCCACTGCACTCCAGCCTGGGCGACAGAGTGAGACTGTGTCTTAAAAAAAAAAAAAAATGTATGATAGGAAAAACTGACATTTTTTCTTCCACATTCACACACCACTCAACACAGCCCTTCTGACGCCAGATGTGTGCCGGTCTTTTCCCAAACACCAAGCAGTTTTCCTGGGGACATCAACTGGGTGTTCTATAATTTAATTCAGTTCTGGCACTATCTACCTAGAGATAGCATCAGACCTCACAGGTGGTGGGTCTGTGCCACAAGATGGCCCCCACTTCAGATGCCAATCTCAAATTTCAGGTTGTGACCTGTACTTCTGATCAACGGGCTTAGGGGTTCCTACAAGCCACG